GTTTGTCTCCTCCTGTAAAGCACCAGGGGTCCCACGAGGCTGTTGATTTCCCTCTCTCTGGATTGTTGTGACGCTTTGCAGTAGTTCTTGAGGAACTGGTAGGTCAGTGTGCTAATCACAGGGGGAAATTTAAAAGATCAGAACAAGTGAGGAAATCGAAAATTGCTCAAATAGCCATGCTGGTCGACCAGAGAGGTGAGAGTCAAGTGGAACGGGAGCAAGTGGCACGACAGGAGGTGTGCTGTCGTGGTGCAGGTGTACGGTGGGCAGTCAAGACCCTTTGTCCCACTACTGACTCTTGTCAGCTCTGCTGCTTTATCTCAGCTCACTTCTGGTGATTGACCAGATGGGGTAAACCAGGTAATTTTCTGTCTTTGTTTGCCCCCTTTTTGTGCTCCCCAGTGAATACCCAGCTTGACATAGTCACATTACACCCCTTCTTTGACATATGCTTCATCTGCACAACTAGCATCAGCTCAAACACAGAACCTTTAACCCTCAGTATTTCCTTTCCAAACATACTTCACTCTTCTAAAGCTTCTGCCAGCTGAAACCGGTTCCCCTCTCTTGCTTGAGAAGGAAGAACAAACCAAGGCATACGGAAGCAAAAGCTGTTCTGCTAACCAGACCTGAACCCCTGCTCCAGTTGAGCAACCTCCCTGACAAGAAGTGTTGCCTCCGGGTGACACCACATGACCGACTGTCACCTGACTCGGCGACAGGCTGGAGCCCTGGCAAAAGGTGCTGAAGGAAGCATGTATGCTCAGGGCTTGCTTCTTACAGCCAAGGATGAAAACAGTCCTCTCCAGTGAATACAGGGTCAGTTGTTTTCAAGCCACAGTTCAGAGGTAAAAGTGGCTGTTCAGTTTTGAGGTGCACTTCATGTGGGAGATGCTACACAGAGTGAACATGTGTCTTTTTGTGTGTGTGTTTCTCCTCATTTAACATTTAAACAGAAGTCGCAGTATACACATTGTTTCATTCTTTAGGCTTTTTCTTGGTGTTTCTGGATTCAACATGCTGTTTTCTAGGAGATTCTGTCATGATTTCCTATGTGTTCCTCCTGTTTTATCCCTGGTTTCTCTCCAGTCTCCTGCTAAGTGTTTTCAGCACACAGATAGTAGAATAAAATGGTTTCCCATTTTGACCTCAACTTTTCTGTATTTTTCTCATTTCTCTTCTCACTCTGATCTCTCTCTCTGAGCTAAACCTCAGCTTTTCTGTATTTTTCTCTTCTCACTCTGATCTCTCTCTCTCTCTGAGCTCTGGAATCTAAGTCTTGGCCCATTAATCCCAACAGCCTACAATGATCAAATAAAATCCCAGTTCCCCCTTTTCTTCCTCTCTGGTTAGTCAGGTCACTTGTCTTTCGTTTCTCAGATGGAAGAACTGAGCCTTGGAGAAGCTGTTATTTTTCATTCCTAAAACTCCAGAACTGAATGCAGGAGTTTGCCAAGTCCTGCTTGGTAAATAGAGTGCGTTTTTTATCTGTGCTCACTGTTACCTGCATCTCTGCCCTCTCTGACTCTTCTCATGCTCAGCCTCCTTTCTGCCTGTAACCCCCACACAGCCCACCTGGCTGTCCCACGGATCCACGGCAGTTCTGCACACCAAACTGTCTCTGTGTCTGTCCTTACAGGTCTGTGTGGGCTGACGGGTCACTTCCACCCCTGTTATCTTGCCCACGAGCAGCTGCAGGGCGCCTGGCAGCGTTCCTCAGGGAGTGCCCTGTGCTGTGTGCAGGCACTGCCCCTTGCAGCAGTGTTCCTACTGATGAGCTGTCCCTGTCCTGGCAGATCTTCGTCCGCAGCACCGACTACGACCGGACGCTGATGAGTGCAGAGGCCAACCTGGCAGGCCTGTATCCCCCCGAGGGACAGCAGATCTTCAACCCCAACATCTCCTGGCAGCCCATCCCTGTGCACACAGTGCCCGAGGCTGAGGACAGGGTAAGTTAGTCTCAGGGGTGTGTACTGACTACTCGAGCGGTGTGCTGTGCTGACTTCTGCAAAAGTCTTTGCTTCAGTCTCAGTTCAGATTGTCTCAGACTTCTCCAGGGACCTACCTTGCCAAGGTTCTTCTGTTCTCAGAACAAGGTGTGAATTCAGGGGCTGTGTTCGCTCAGCGTGGAACACGGCCTGGAGTAAGTCAGGAGGCAGTACCTGAGCCTGTTTCTAGATGAATCCCGCTAGTCAGGGTTTCATTAGAGTCGTGTCTGTTGTCTGCAACCCCTGCTCTTCGGCGTCCTGGTGAGCTGGCTGCTCTTGTTGTCTCTGCCCAGCTGCTGAAGTTCCCTTTGCCCCGCTGCCCGCGGTACGAACAGCTGCAGAACGAAACGCGGCGCTCCGCAGAGTACGTCAACAAGACCAGAGAGAACTGGGTAAGCCGTGAGCTGAGGGGCCTCTGGGCTCACAGGTCAAGCATTAGCACCTCTAGATAATCAGAGCTCTGAGAAGAGGGTCGGATTACCCGTGCAGGTCGTACGGGATGAGATGAGGAACTGAAGGTCGGTCTCTTTTCTCGTTCCTGCAGCAGTTCCTGCAGATGGTGGCAAACGAGACCGGGATCCGGGACGTCTCCCTGGAGTCCGTCTGGAGCGTGTATGATACGCTCTTCTGTGAAGTAAGTTTCACCATCCTCGTGCAGCCCTGGGAACTGGGGCTGGAGCACTCCCTGGATTGGGTAGAAAATCATTTTGCGAAACCCCATCCAACAACTTTTCACCATTTCCACCCTACAGTTAGAAGTAACGTTCTCATTTCAGAATAAAAACAGTTCCTACTCCTGAGGGGCGTGTGCCAAGAATTACCTACTTTTCCAGCCTGTAATCTTCTCCTTTGTAGCTTAGGTGTTCATCATGCCAGAGCCAGAAAAAGTCCCATCTGCATAATAAATATCTCTTTAGAGGCACTAGAGAATGACTGCAATCTGAAATCTTTAGATCTCCGTGAGTTAAGTAAGGTAGAAAGCTTAGGTGTTCATCATGCCAGAGCCAGAAAAAGTCCCATCTGCATAATAAATATCTCTTTAGAGTCACTAGAGTATGACTGAAATCTTTAGATCTCCATGGAAAACTCTGAGTTAAGCAAGGTAGAAATGAGATCTGGAAATGGAAGAAGCATTAACTTTAGGATTTAATTTGGGAGGTTAAATTAGGATCATTTCTGGGTTTACCTCTCTGTTACTTTAGATCAGTTACTTTTCTTTCTGTGCTTCTGTTAATGCCACCTCGAAAAGAAAATAATACCCTTTAAGTGGTGTTCACCCTCATCTGGTTTTTCACCAATTACAAGGTGCTTTGCCAGAGAAAGACTCTAGAGAGAGGCATTACCTGCCTGAGGTGAGGCATCAAACTATATTCACATGGAGTTTTGTTGAAAGTACATCTCATGAAGGCTGAAACAAAATTAAATATTGGGTTAGGTGTGCTGTGGTAATGCTAAAGTAAAGGGCACGTATCAGGAGACTATTTGTGTGTAACTCTACAGCATGGTGAAGCATATAGAGATCTTTGATGTCAAACTAGCTAACTGGAAGCAGCAGTAAACTTGAGCATTTTCACACTGTGTCATGCTAATTCTATGGAGGGGCAAGACCACTCAGCTTGCTGGTAGTGGTGTACAGGGGTAGGTACAAGATAAATCTGCATGGAACTGCACTTTGCTATGTAAAGTAGCAGCCTGAGTTGCTGCAACCTGAGAATATTCCAGTCCAGAGCTGCACTGCACTATGCAAATTTGCCCTTTGTATCACAGACCCAATCTCCTGTCTTCTGACAGTCCCAGTGAAGCAACTTTTGTCAGTAACAATCCTTCAGTTGGAGAGATCAAGAATTTAAAATCTTACTCATTTTCAAGACTCACTTAAGAGCTGGCAGACTGGTCCCAGAAGGCCAAGTGACAACCCCTGCAGTCCCCAAGAACTTGGGGAACAGCTCCCTGTCCTAAAACAAAACCAGAAGTTGAGAGGAAGGGGAGTTTAACTCTCAAAACTATACCCTCAGGTCGATCACTCTCTTCAGCTGCTTCCTCCTGTTTTCTAACTCATACAAACAGTGCCCTGAAGAGAAAGATTGGGGGTTATTTTTCACCTGAGCCAGTAAATTCATTCTGCCATCTGGATGGAGAAAATAAAAACGTCCAAGAAATAGCTGAACTCACCAACTATTCTCTTTGTAAATTAATGAAACACTGTAATAAAGATAGGAGTTGCTGATGGGAATTTTCTCTGAACCACTCAGCCAGAATGGGCCCCTGGGGATATTCAACCTCATCTGCTGGCAGTTTGATGGGATGTGGTACAGAAAATTGCTCCGAGGAACCACAACTGCTGTTTGTCTGCCAGTGTAACTAATCCTTTCTTGTAACAGGCTGGCTGCAAAGCAAATCCCAGTCCTGGGTTGGAGTACTGGGTTTTGTCAGTGGTGCAGCCCAGGATTGCAGGGTGCTTGCTGACTTTCTCTCAAGACCTTTCAGTGGCCCTCAGAGCCTCTGGGGAAACTGTGCTGCAGGTGCACAGGAAACCTTCAGTTTGTGTTTTCTCACTTATCTTTTTTTCTATTTTTTTTTTTTGACTGCATGCCATCTGCAGGGCAGGATCAGCCACACGAAGTAAAGGCCCTGAGGTGACTGCATCAGCATTAAGACATAACCCTGCACTCCAGTTGTGCTCTCACAGAAATGTAGCTCAGGTTTTAATCTTTACACTTCTCATGATTAGTTTTTGAGACATGAAAAGTCACATATATTCTTTGTCCACAGCACAGCAGTGTGCAGGCAGAAGCACAAACAGGAAAGGGGCATATTTAAAATAACAGAGGAAATTGTAGCAGTGTGGGCAGGACACCAGTCCCCCTGCCTCCCATTCTCTGGTTGCTCTGCCATCCATGCTACCTGCAGATGAGTATTGTTTCTCTTTCTAGCAAGCACACCAAATGGATTTACCTGCATGGGTGACACCAGATGTCATGACTCGGCTGAAGCAACTAAAAGACTTTGGTTTTGAATTTCTGTTTGGGATCCACTATCGGGTAGAAAAAGCTCGTCTGCAAGGCGGTGAGTGCACCGAGGAGGGGGTTTCATGCTGCTCTGGCTGGATTTTGCCTCTTACCAGCTGCTGCCTTTCCTCAGGGGTCCTGCTGGATCACATCAGGAAGAACCTAACCCAAGCAGCGAATGCTTCTGCCCATCGGAGCCTGAAAGTGCTCGTCTATTCAGCAGTAAGTCAGAGCTTGGGGCCTGCCTCCAATCCCTCTCTTCCTCCTCATGGGAGATGGTGGCTTGGTGATAGTTTTAACCCTTCCTGGCTTCCCTCCAGCCCAGGCAGTGATCAGGACACGCATCTTTGCTGAGTGGGACGTGCACTATCTGGGCATCTTTCCTCTGGGGCCCCCCAGGGAATTCCCAGCCTCTGCTTAGTTCCTGTTAGCTCAGGCTCGTGGATGAGACTGGCAGGCTTTGGGGAGCCACCCCTCTTATTTATCTGGTAGATGGGCTGATGCTGCTCAGATGTAGACACAAAGTCATCCCTCCTTTCCAGGAGCCCACTGACTGGAAAGTCACACTTCTCTCTGATTGCTCTCTAGAGATTAATTCTTAAAAGAACAATGCAGGACATCCATGGCTCTGTTTCACTTCCTCCCCTCCTTGGGCACTGTCACAGTGTGTGTTCTGGCAGCACAGCTCTCCCTGCTTCCCAAGGGAAGTCACTCAGCACTGCTCTGTTACTGGTATGGTCTCATCTGCCTGGTGACATATAGAAGGGTGACTGATTTGGGGTTTTTTTCCCTCTTTCTCAGCATGACACCACGCTTGTGGCACTGCAGATGGCTCTAGATGTCTACAACAAGATTCAAGCACCATATGCCTCATGTCATTTATTTGAGCTGTACCAAGAGGATGATGGGTGAGGGCTGCAGTAGACATTTGCTATGATTCCACCTCAAGGGTCAGAGACTAGGCAAAAAGCTACCACCAGAGTAAAGGAAAGGGTGTGCACACCAAGTTTTGGGGAAGGGATGGTGTCAGTTGGAGAGGGGAAAAAAATGACCAAACCAAACCCAACTAGCTGTGTTTTGTTTCCAGGAACTTCTCTGTGGAGATGTTTTTTCGGAATGAGAGTGGGAAGGAACCTTTCCCACTGACAATCCCTGGCTGTCAGCATAAATGCCCACTCCAGAGGTTCTTGGAACTCACAGATCCTGTTGTTCCCCAGGACTGGGAGCAAGAATGCCAAGTAGCAAGCAGCATGCACAACACAGGTGAGCCCAGGCTGGGCCAGAGCATGGCAGAAGGGGAGACACCTGGATGATACCATGCTGACCACTGGTTTTCTCCCTTGCAGAAGTGCTCGTGGGTCTGGCTGTGTGTGGATCTATTCTCCTCCTCCTCATAATCCTGCTCTTGACTGTACTCTTTCGCATAAACTCCCAGCCCCCAGGCTACAGGCACGTTTCCAACGAGGGAGAAGAGCAGCCCTGATGCTGCTTCTGCTCCTTCCTGGGCAGCAGGAGGGAGCAGTGCTGCCCCCAAGCACGACTGGGCATCTTCAGTTACTGAGCATTCTTCTGCTTCAGCAGTCATTTCCCAGAAGGAAGCTGGACTTGATTTTTGGATGCTTTCTAAAGGTGACATCCCAGAGACCGAGCTACTCGGATGGAAATGACCCCTTAATTCTGAAGCCAGTACACTGTGTGGTGCCCTCAGGCCTCAGACAGCTTTCCCAGGCTGGGATTCCCAACGTGGCCATTCAGAGCTGGTCAAGAGTTTTCCTCCTTTCAAGGGATTGTAAACCTTACCACACAGGAGGACTGTGGCAGAGGGGCTT